GAACTGAATGGTATTGTAAAATAAAAAATATATATCACAAAAATAAATAAATAAATAAATAAATAAATAAATAAATAAATAAATAAATAAATAAATAAATAAATAAATAAATGATCTTAGTCTGAATCTCACACACTGTGCGGTGTTTAGTTTTAACTTTCAACTTGATCCAATCAAGTAGGTGTGGCTCTGTTGGAGGAAGTGTGTCACTGTGGGGATGGGCTTTGAGGTCTACCATGCTCAAGCTATGCTCAGTGTGGTACACAGTTCACTTCCTGTGGATCAAGATGTAGAACCCTCAGCTCCTTCTTCAGCTCCTTCTCCAGCACCATGTCTGCCTGCACACCACCATGTCCCGCCATGATGATAATGGACTAAACCTCTGAAACTGTAAACATTCCATTAAATGTTTTCCCTTATAAGAGTTGCAGTGGTCATGGTGTCTCTTCACAGCAATAGAAACCCTAACTAACACGGTATTATACTGTAATTTTTAAAAGTTGAGATGATGGCATCTTTCTTTTCTCTTCTCTCTCTCTCTCTCTCTCTCTCTCTCTCTCTCTCTCTCTCTCTCTCTCTCTCTTTCCTCCCTCCCTCCATTCCTTCCCTTCTTTCTTTCTTTTTCTTTTTAGACAGGGTCTATATAGCCCTAGCTATCCTGGATTCACTATGCAGACCTTTGCCTCCTTCATCCCAAGATTGGCTTGGTAGCTATTCCTTTATAAAAGAAAGGAAAGGGGATGCAACCTAGAAGTTTCTAAAGTGCTGGAAGTTTCTATTTCTTTATATTTTTGGTTCTGAGCCTGGCCTTTAATGGCTGAGCCATCTCTCCAGCCCAAGTTTCTGTTTCTTAACCTGGGTGATGGAAAAACAACTTCATATTTTTCAAATATTCTCTCTATTCATCCTTGTGGATAATAAGTGGAAGTATGAATCTGGAAAGACAACAGTCCTTGAATTAAGGAAGTGTGCTCTTCAGATGCACACACAATGCTGACGAGCTAGAACTGTCGGATGTGTACAGTGTGAAACAAGTTCCTTCAGGCTGATGATGCTACACACTAAGGGAGAAATAACTAGACAACCAGTTCAATTTCCCTTCCCAAGAGCCCAAGCCATTTTGAAATCATGGTGGCCCAGCATCTGCATTACCAAGGAGTCTTTCTACCCTGCAAACTGCCCAGTACCTTCAGAGAACTCAAGGTCATTCCTTCTCAGAAACAAAACAAGGCTGGGGGTGAGTTGTTGGTGGAGCGCTTGTCTAGTATGCACGGAGCCCTAAATTCAATGCCCAGCACCGTGTACATTAGCCATGGGCACAAGCCTATAGTCCCAGGCTTCAGGAGGTTGTAGAGGCAGGAAGATCACAAGTTCAAGGTCATCTTCAGCCCACATAGTAAATTTGAAGGCAGCCTGGACTATGTCAGACTCTAACATTGGAGAGATGTTGGAGTTGGAGGGGTTGGAGAGATGGCTCAGCAGTTAAGAGCACCGACGAGGTGTTCTTCCAGAGGACAGGGTTCAGTTCCCAGCACCCACTGGGGGTTCACAACTGAACTGGTTCCAGGCGATCCGACACTGCCTTCTGGCCTCCATGGGCAGTGCATACATGTGATGCACATACGTACATGCAGGTGTAAAATGCCCATACAATAAGGTATTTAAAAAAAAATCTTTTTTTTAAAAAAAAAAAAGACTCTGTTGAACAGTGGTAACATACATCTTTAATCCCAGCACTTGGGAGGCAGAGGCAGGCGGATCTCTAAGTTCAAGGCCAACCTGGTCTACAGAGTGAGTTTCAAGACAGCAAGGACTAAACAGAGAAACTCTATCTTAAAAAAAAAACAAAACAAAACAAAAAAAACCCTAACACAAACACCACCAACAACACAAAATAATCAATAAAACAAGTAACAAGGACTTGAAGGAACTACATTCTTCAATGGCTTCAGAGACTGGAGCACTGAAACAAAAACCACCATTGCGACCCACTGACTTGGAAAACGGAGCCCAGCTCAAGTGGGAGGAGCGAAGAGGGCGGGAAGACTGGCAGAAGGGAGCTGTGGCGCCTCTGAGCCACCGGCCGGTTCGGGACTCTCCAGAACTGAAGAGCAGATCAAGAGGCGAACACAGACCTCAAGCAGCTGATGAGCTCACACTGCAAGGCCAGCACACTGACAGTGTCCACAGAAACCAAAGCCTCACGTCTGCTAAGGTCCTTCCCCACCGCGGAAGGCCCTGGCCACCTCTTACTGACCTGGTTGTGGCTGTGACAATCCAAGAGGTCATTGCTGACATAGGCTTGCAGGACTGTCTCCCTCTGCTCTCCAGGGTGGGACGTGGTCAAGCGCTGCAAAGAAAAACCGAAGTAGCAAACTCCTACAGAGGCCAGAGCTAGGCCCTGAAGGGCGAGCAGACGGCCAAGCAGCAGGGAGGTGAGTGTGTGTGGAAGGGCGGGGGTGGGGGAGTGGTCCAGTCAGAAAGTGGGGCCCAGGCTACCTCTAGAAGACTCTCAGTGACCCGATCCAAAAGGACCAATGGGCAATAAAGGTGGGGAGGCAGATGGGAGAGAGGATGGCTAGCTGGTTAGAATTTGGGAAGCCATTCAATCTGATATGGTGCCATATGAATTTGTGTGCTACCCACAGGGGAAGAAGTTTGTGTGGTGTGCAGGTGCACATGGCTGCTGGGTGCAGCTTTGTTAGGACAGGAGAAAGTTGTGTGTGTAACACGAGCAAATTGCTTTTCCGGGGGAAAAAGTCTTAAATAAATACCCTGAGGCCCAGAATCTGCTTCTGTCTGAGGACAAGCGTGGTGTGTTCAGAACATCCTGGTCTGCAGCAGGGACAAAGGCCAAGCCAGAGTCAACAGACACAGCAGACAGGAAGGGAAGGCCTTCAGAGGGAGGGGCATGCTGCTAGCTGGCCTGATCCCCACTACGTGGGGACTGCTAAAGGACGGTGCCAAGAATGTCACACGGGGAATTCCTGTGGAGCCAAGAGGCTGGCTGGGCACTGAAGAAGAACACAGGCAAAGCCATTGAGCAGCCGCATGCCTTCCCGATTATCTGTCAAAGTGCCTGTTTTCTGTAGAAAGAGGCCCTGTCCAAGCAAGAGGCCCAGGGAGTGGACAGACTGAGCCATCGCTGGGTGGCAAACTCAGGCCACCAGGGTGAGTGTGGTAACACGAGTAGACACAAGCAAACCAGGGTGGGCAGCCCTGGTAACCACACAGGCTGCCCACCCACCCTGGTCAGCAGGCCCCACAGGGTTCTCCCCTTGGACCCCAAGTGTTCCTCACAGTTCCCAATGAGGTCCAGTCCAGATGCACCACCAGATGCTACAGACCAGGAGGACCGTTTCCACTCAGAGATGGTGAACTTGCTCGAAGAATTCTGAAGCAGTGTACCCCGAAATACGGGGATCCACACGGGAGATTGACACTCCTCTAGGGTGAGTTAGAATGGATCCCTTAGTGAAAGGCTCTGGCCAGTGATTCTCAAAGTGTAGTTCAGAGAACTCTGGGCATCCCAAACCTCTTTCGTGGACTCAGAAGGGACATGACTATTTCCCAGTGACACTGAGATGGGTTCTGCCGTTCTTGATCACTGTCTCAGAGGCTGTGGAAGTGTGACACTGGCAAGTCTAACATAAAAGCAGGTTCTGAGGACCCCGGGTCTTCCTCCAAGGCAAACCACGGAGATGGCTGAGCAAGGACGCCACTCTGCATTCACTTCGTTTGTTGTTTGGAAACTGTTACTGTTATTTGTGTTAACCGGTCATTTGTTAATTCTACAGGGAATGATACATTCTCCAGTTTTCTGTTTTAATTTATTTACACATTAGATGAAATCCATACAAACAAAACTCTTTGGGGTCCGCAATAATTTCTGAGAATGTAGAGGGGTCTGGAACACTTGAAAACCAACCACTGGCTGCAACTGATCTAACTACTGAGGAATGGGAATCCCGGTGAGGCCTATCCAGTGTGGTGAACTGGTCAGTACTTGTACCCAGGGGTCTCTGGAGTTGTGACTGGGTTTGGCTACATGCTCTAACTAACATGCAGGCCCCAAGCTGAATGTAGCACCTGACCAGGCAGGGCTGAATGGCAGGGGCAGCTGCCTTATCACACTGAAGCAACAGTAATGGACACCAGTACAGAGTGCTCGGGAATACGGCCGAGGCCTAACTCGGAGCTGGTTTGCCTGCTGTGGGTAGGGGTGGAGCCTCACTATATAGCCCTGGTCTGGTCTGCATCCTGTTGTGCAGACCAGGCTGGCCCTGAACTTACGGAACGACACCTACCTCTGCCTTCTGCAAGCTAGGGGTAAAGGCCTGTGCTCCCACATCTGGCTGGAGCGGCTTTTAACCTCAGGTCTTGGTGGCAGGCAGCAGGAAAGATTTTTAGCAAAGGGATTACGAGATACCACCCAAGTTACCAGGTAGCCAGCCAAGAAAAGCAGTGCTGGAGTTTTCTCTCTGGTTTTTGTTATTAACTTCAAGGGGAAGGTACCTACCCAGCGCAGAGCCTGCAACAAGAAGGCTTTCAAGCGGTCACTGCCCCAGATCAAATCCTTCTTCAGTTTCTCATAATCCAGGGAGGGCAGTAATGGGACATCCTTCAACTTCCTGCTCAGCATCGCAAGTTCAAAGAGAAGGAAAAGGGCAAAGGGGCATGTCATTCCATCTGCCGAGCATCAAGATCTCTACTTAGACTCAAGCAACCAACAGCGGCCCAAACGCCACCCCAACTGTGGGCTCCCAAAAGAGACAGAGCCTTCCCCTGGGAGCCTAGTGCCCAGGCCCCCACCCAGCTCAGCCAGCTCACCCCTGCTGAGGGATGGAGTTTATGTCATCTAAATTTATTTCTTCTTAGATTTCAATGGCATGCTAATTTTCTACAATAAGAAGAAATTGCATACTAGGTTTGTTTTGTTTTAGTGTTCAAACAGGGTCCCCTGTGTGGCCCGGGCTGACCCTCCCACCACAGCCTCCCAGTGCAGTGATCACAGGCTTGTCACTCAAGTTCAACTCCCCACACCCAGGCCGACCTTTTGGCTTTCTAACTGCTCAGGGCTTGTGTAAAATACTAACACTGGCAAGTCTTGGGGGGGCTGGAGAGATGGCTCAGCAGTTAAGGGCACTTGCTGCTCTTGCAGAGGACCCAGGTTCTATTCCCAGCACCAACATGGCAGCTCACAATCATCTGTAACTCCAATTTCAGGGGACCCAATACTCTGTTCAGGCCTCTGAAAGCACTGTGTGCATGTGGTATACACAGGCAAGCTAGAACACACATACACATAAATAACTACATCTTCAAAAGAGAATTTTTAAAAAGAAGTTTTGTAATCGTCAATTTACATCCTCAAAATTACTATAACAAACTGGGTGTGGTGGCTAATACTTCTAATTTCAGAACCTGGAGGCTGAGGCAGGAGACTAGAACTCATTTCTAAGAACACCATAGGAATAAGGTAACAGATTTTTGCTATTTAATGTTCTCTTACAAGAATCAATATTAAAAGATAATTCTAGTTTAGCATTATTTATGATCATTGGCATTTCCTTTCATATCAACATGAGGTTGAACGTTTAGTTAAACTATCTTGAATTCGAGTTTCACATATAGATAGGAATACGGAGCTGGAGAGATGGCTCTGTAATTAAGAGCACTGGCTGCTCTTCCAGAGGACCTGTGCTTGGTTCCCAGCAGCCACATGGTGGCTCACAATCATGTCCAGGGTATACAATGCCATCTTCCGGCCTCTGCAGGCACCAGGCATGCAGGTCATGTACAGACATACACACAGGCAAAGCCCTCATACACATAAAATAAAAAGCAAATAAAATTTTAGAATACAATTAATAAAAACTCCTAAGAATGATTACTTACTCAGGTACCAAAGAGGCTCGTAACATGGTTGAGGCCTGAGGGGAGGGCAGGAGCAGAGAGACTGTGTTAAACACTGACGCAATGCCTTAACCCCAGCCCTGTCCAACAGCACATAAGCAGCCATCTGCAAAGTGTTTGGTGCAGTTGTGTCCCCCAAGACCAGCCTGGCCTACAGAGGGAGTTCCAGGACAGCCAGGACTACACAGAGAAGCCCTGTCTTACAAAAAGAAAACAGAAAAAATTTACGGGGGCTGGAGAGATGGCTTAGTGGTTAGGAGCACTGACTGCTCTTTCAGAGGACCCAAGTTCAATTCCCAGCACCCATGTGGCAGCTCACAGCTGTCTGTAACTCCAGTTCCAGGGGATCTGACATCCTCACATAGACATACATGCAGGCAAAACACCAATGCACATAAACAAAGAAACAAAGAAAAGAAAAAATTTACAATTCCCTTTCACCTCACCCCTTTATCCTGCCTGCAGGCCAGTTTACCACCTCCTTTATGGACAGTCACACCACCCCATCTAGTTTGTATGTGGGTGCAAGTATACATCATCATTTGTTTTCACTATGGGCAATGCCAGATTAAATATGAGGAATATAGAGGAATAAAGAAATGCAACCTGAGGTATGTGTATGACAACACAAACCAAATGTAAAATAAAATTGTGACATTAAGAAATCTGAGTATAGACTGAACTGGTGTTGGGGATTCCTGTTGATTCTATTTATTTGTGGGTTGTATTTATTTTTAAATCTCTCTGTCAGATGTGGGTATTTTATTTATTGGTGAGGCAGTGTTTGGAACTGGCTTCAAAAGACTTGGAGAGAAGAGGATAGGCAGAGCGTTTGCCTAGCACCCTCAGTTTGCAAAGAAAAAGGAAGAAAAGAAGAGGGTGTAATAAAGCAGACCTGAGAGAGAAAAACTAAACAGAGGAAAGAAAGGAACCAAGTCTATCAAATGTCATCAGTTCCTGAAGCCAGTGAGGGACACAGCGGGACTCCATCTCCTTAGGAGCTTGTGAAAATATGTCATTCACTCCTAACACTGGGCATCCAGAGACACCAGTCAGCACTTGAAGAATGAATGAGGACTGACTCCCAAGAGTTACTCCAGAGACCCTGGCAGCAAAAGTAGCTACCACAGTTAGTTAGTCTTTCATTCTATTGGGCATGATAAATTTAATTCAGTAGTTATACACATTTCGATTGGCTTTGAAAATTATAAATCTATAAACTCAAGTTCCATTTGCTTTTGGGATACTATCTTACAAGGACTCCAATTTGCAGTAAGGCTCATTAAGGAAGGGAATGTCTCAGTTGCCTTTAGCCTACTGGCTATGGGTGGGATAGGACCTCTGTTGGTCTTTTCTGTGTCGAACACACAGATTGCAAGCCCAGTGCCACTTTGAGATCTTTGGCAGCAGTTAACTCTACAGCTCACACACAATTGAGCCTGTATGATGAGTATTCAGAGACAGGTAATGCCTGGGGGGCACTCACCAACCTAAGACAGAGCACCTGTGTGGCCTGGGCAGGCGTCTCCATGACGGGTAAGGTGACCTGCTGACATCCCACACAACCTAAGTCAGAAGCTCATTTTTTAGTAAAAGGGGGACCTGTAGGGCCCTGGCCCCCATTTTGGGTAAGTGTTGCCTTGCTTGCTGACCTTGACCTTGATATCCTCCCTATGCTAATTCTCTGCCAGGTTCCACCCTCCTGAATGCTTAAGGGAAGTTCCTTGTCTGTGTATCCTGCATAATGGGCGTTAACAGCTTAGATGCAAGATTTTAAAACATCGGTAGCAAACTTCTGCCCTCTGGGGTTCTCCCATTGTGCTGTAAGCCTGTATTTAAGACCTCCTCCCTCCTTCAATAAACAGCATTCAGCATTAAATAAATAAACAAACAAACAATAAAAAAAAGAGTTACTCCAGAGCCCCTGCTGATACTAAAGAAGTGGTCTTGCCAAGGACCCTGGTTCTGACTGCTTCCCTCTGCCAAGTGTACAGACCACAGATCCCACCTCTCTCTACCTTTTCTTTTTCTTTATCTCTCTCTTTCCTTCCTTCTTTTTCTTTTCTTTTCTTCAGAGACAGGGTTCCTCTGTGTAGCCTTGGCTGTTCTAGAACTCAGAGATGCCTCCAAGCACTGGAATTAAGGGTGTATGCCATCACCGCCTGGCCAAGCCTCACTTCTAAATGCCTCATGACTATGTATGTGTTCACAGTTTTTGTGGTGCTGGGGGGTTTGAACCCAGAGCCTTGCAAGCACTAGGCAAGCAGGCTACTCTATTGTCCCAGAAGTTTTCATATTTTAATCCTTGGCTGTCTTGACCAAATAAATTACCTTTTCCTATCATTAGCTTACTAAGTCGTTCAGAAACAAGTCTGAGTTCATCTCCTCACCTAATATCATCTCACACATTAAAAACAGCAGGACAGGAGGGAGAAAATCGGCTGGGTCAAGTGAGGACATGGAGCTGCTAAATGTTGATATACACACACACCAAACACAAATCTCTAAGAATCACTAAAAACAGCCATTCCTAGCTCCCCGTGAAACTCATCCCTCCCTGTAAGAGGTCTTCTACCTCACCAGTCACTTTTGCGCCTCCTACCTTTCCCTGGCTACACCTCCCCCCTCTCCACACCCCTTCTCCTTCCTTTCCCACGCAGCGGTGGCTATGTGCCCAGTGAGAAGGACCCCAGCACAGCCCTCTGCCCTTACCTCCTGAAGCTTCCTCTGGTACAACTAAGCGCTCCCCAACCTCTGCACCGGTGTGGAGCGCGTCCCTCCCCAGCGGTTCCCACAGGTGAGTCTGCCCTTAGAGAACAGGGGCTGGTGTCTGGAGATGCTGTTGGTTGTTGCTCCTCTGTTGTATACAGGGACTTACGTGATTTTCTGGGTTGTTTTTAAACCGAGTCTCATGTAGCCCAGGCTAGACTCAAACTTGCTACATAAACAAGAATGACTTCAAACCTTTGATCCTCCTGCCTCACATCCTGGGGTACTGGGACTTCAGGTATCCACCACTCTCCCTGGTTTTCCATGGTGTGTGGAATGGAACCCAAGGCTTCATGCAAGCTAAGCATGTACCCTACCAACTGAGCCACACCTAGCGTCACGGCCTCACGACGAGCTTCTTAACCATCTCACTGTCTGCTCACTACCAGCTGGGCATACAGCAGTCAAATCTCCTCTGATGCGAGCTAAGTGACTCCAGTGGCTCCCAGAAAGCCAGTGAGGGCAACACTGTGGGTGAGGACCCCAGTGAGGCTGGAAGACGTCAGCATAGTTTCTTCTTCCCCACCGGCCTGCGCCAAGACCCTCCTCCACTGGGGGTGCTCAGTGTAACAAACAACTTGAGGCTGGCCTCTACACTGACACCTGGGGGTGGCCCTCTCAAGGTATGGGGACTTCAAAGAAGCTCTACTTCTTTCCTTCCTGTAGGTTTTGAGACAAGACCTCATGTCACCCAGGCTGGCTTCCAAGTCACTATTTAACTGAGAATGACCTTGAACTTCTGGTCCTCCTGAATGCTGGGACTGTGGGTATGAGCCACCACTCCTGGTTTGGTGCTGGTGATTGAACCCAAGGCTTCACTCATGCTAGGCATTCCACGGCTGAGCCATATCCCAGCCCCAGAAGTCTTGGTCATCCATCACACACAAACACCAAGGCTTTCTGAACTTGCGCTGAGCGACCCAGGTCATGCACTGGATCTCTACGGTGTCCGCTGCAGGCTCTCAGGGCAGTTATGAGCACAGCTCCTGCTGCCTGCATTTGAGTCACTGTCCCATGGCTGTGGGCAATGCAGTGTGTGTGGGACATGCAGAGCCCACCAGCTGGCAGGGGACAGCCCCAGCAGGAGAAAATCTATCACCGTCACAACTAAGCCCTCTACTGAGGCAAGTGGAGTTTTGTTTGTTTTGCTTGCTTTTTGAGACAGGGTTCGATGTAGACCTGGCTGTCCTAGAACTCACTATGTAGACCAGGTTGGCCTTGAACTCAAAGATCCACCTTCCTCTGCCTCCCAAGTGCTGGGACTAAAGGTGTGTGCCAACTGCCTGGCTCAACAGCAGATTCCTAATGCTGAAGGAGCAAGCCCCAGAAAGGACGTCCTTGTTATGGAGGCCCGACTCTGTCCTAGAGGGTGCTATTTGATTTCTAGGACTCATCCTGAGACAGGAAAAGGGCCAGCAGAGCCGAGGGTGAGACTCAGATGGCAGACAGTGTTCCCAAGCTCCCTGAACAGCTAGTTGGTGGAGTCCACCCCAAGAAGCCCTGAAGGAACGCTGGGACAGAGAGAGGACACAGCAGAGCAAGCCATGAACCAAGGTGTCAATTACTGAATCCGGTCAGTGAAAGCTCCTGGGATTCTTAGATGTGGAGACAAAGGTGTACACAAGCCAAGGTGAAAATGGGACACCTTCCTCTTTCCTCAGACTCAGGAAGCCCCCGAGCCCTGCCTTCCCAGCAGCTGTGGCCTAAGGCCTAGTGTCCAGGAGGTGGGGACCAGCTGCAGGCCTGAGACAACTGAGGGGAACAACCTGAGGACCTGTGGGGTCAGGCTGTGAAGTGTCTCTGGAGGGCTCAGTTCAGGTGTGACATCAAGGACAGTCCTCCTAGGGGCAGTTCAGGAGGGAGAGCGGCCCTCTACCAGGGCCTTGCACAACAGTGCACCAGGAATCTCACATGGCAGCATGCTTCCTAAATCAAAGGTTCTTCGTTCTGGGCCAGGTTTAGTCTGCAAACATGGTTTTGAAAAATGTGAGCACAGGAAAGGCTGGAAGAGCCGGCGGTGGTGGCACACGCCTGTAATTCCAACACTCAGGAGGCAGAGGCAGGCGGATCTCTGTGAGTTCGAGGCCAGCCTGAGCTATAGAGTGAGTTCCAGGACAGGCTCCAAAGCTACACAGAGAAACCCTGTGTGGAAAAACCAAAATGAAAAGAAAAGAAAGAGAGCGGCTAGAAGGAAGAGGTGCCTGGCCCAGCTAGGAGTGGAAGGGGGGCAGCTTGACACCCTCAGCAG